ATTTATTTGGGACGGCTATGTATTTTATTCGCTTTATTAACATATGGTTCTATGTAAAGTTAAAAAAACAATTTCTTCAAGGTTTATTCCGTATTTATAATTTTATTGTTTTCTTTAAAAATTGAAGTTTTTTTTAATAAATACGTATAGGAAATGAAGAATTATTTGTGTTCTACAATTTAAAAGCCTTTGACACTACTGCATTGGACCAAGGCGTAGCTTAAGATAATAGCATACACCTTGAAAGGACTTTATCGATATCAACTGACATATTTTGGTATCAAACTTAAACTTTTACTAAATAATCTTATTTTTCGTGTATTCAATGGAACACAGTAAAAAATTTTGTCATTGCGTCAAAATTCATCGTTAAAAATCATCGTTTTGGCATGGAAAATTAAAAAGTCCATGCTTATATAGGCCGAAATTTTTAATGAAAGTTGAACATTTAAAATTTATAAGGGGATAGAAACTGATACGTCATATGGAACAAATTAATTTTAAAAATAGAAGTGCAGTCTATAGTTCGATAAAATTTTTCTTCCAGACTTAAAATATCATTTATGAGGGCAAATCATGCATGAACAGTTCTTGTCAGCTGATATATGGAGTTTTAATCCTTTTCTATTAGGCTAGAACAGACATGATCAGACATGGACAGGTCTGAGCGTATTTAACGCTTCAGACATGAACAGGTCTGATCAGGCCTAATTCCAGGCCTGATCATACCTGAACAGGCCTGATCAGGTCGGATTTCAGGTCTGATCAGATATGAACAGGTCTGATCAGTCCTGAACATTTTTTCCCGGGTCGTTATTTGTACCTGGAGTATTCTTATAATTTTATCTGCACTCCAACAGTGAGCTGCAACTCCTCGTCTTCGGGTACTATTAGAAAATATTAGAAAATATTACCAATTAAGATTAATTTACGCAAGCTGGCAGGCGGCCTAGCAAGCAATAAATTAACAAAATATTATCGCTTCGTTCCACGTTGGACAAGCAGAATAAAAATATTTACCTTAGCTGGATGTTTTAGAAAATCTGCGTGTCGCCCAGTCGAGCCACTCAGTCACAATGAGTCTTACCAAATTCGCTCAACCTTTCTTGCTTCCTCTACTCTCCCCACTACCACACTACGCTAGCTTCTCCACCTCGGGGCCTTTCTCACTAGCTCTAAACGAGCTTTAGATCACAGCGCACTGTGAGCAGTCGATAACTGACTGGATACCGAAATAAGAGAATTACCGAGTAACGATCACTCCGTTACATCTTATCTAGGGCAGGAAAATAAGAAATGTCTCAGATTACATGTAATTGTTGACCGAGGCGAAGCCGAGGTCGACAAACATGTGATCTGAGGCTTTCTTATTTCCTGCCCGTGGTGAGAATACTATTTTTCTCCTCGACGGAGGCGGAAAGCAGCATTTTCGTTTAGCGCAGCGAGCGGAAAATTGACGCTTTCCGCACGGAGGGGAGAAAAATAATTTTATCAATTATTATATTTAGATGTGCCGCTAAAACCTACAATTTTCCTCCTGAAATGAAACCGATGGTGGTTTTACTGATGATGAGAAGTAATATAGTTTGCAGACTCTCAGGTGGAAAACTTTTTTTCATGACTCTAGAAAATTTTGCTAATGTAAGTACACAGTATTAGTTTTAAATTACACTGAAAAATTAATAAAATAAAAATTTTAATAGGTCATCAAGACATCCTTCTCATACTGTACAATCCTTTTGTCACTGCAATAATTAATTGATAATTATAGTAACAATGACTGTCACAACTCTTCATTAATAGTATTTAAAATAGATATATATATTTATGTATACGCACAAATTAAATAAAGCCAGAATCATTTAAAAATGCCTTACTGCTCATAATTTATAAATTTTAGATTTTAATGATCTGAAAATGCAAAATATATTACTACAAGTTAAAAATATAATTTATTAAACTGTACTTACAAACGTGGGGTGCTTTTTAAGATATTATTGAAATGATAATCCTTCTACTCATATCTGTTAATAAAATATTTATAAATATTGACACCATGGACCCCACACTTTTTTAAAATAAAATACAATTATTTTTCTTAATTACACTATTATTAATTCATATTTATTAAAATTTTTTACACTATTCTTAATTTAAATTTATTTTCTATTTTTTAGTTTGGTTTTCTATATAAAACGTGATTTTTAGTTTTTTTTGAACTATTATTTATTTATATCCAAAGTCTCCGTTCCGCGGATTATTGCTCATCGTACGCAATTTTATTTTCCGGTAAAAATGGATTTATTTGACAGCTACCACTCGGAGACAACAAAGAAATAGTGTTCTATAGTAACCACATGGCCTTTTCAGGTAGGATATTAAAAAGAAATATGTGGAATTTTAGTTTTGTCCATTATTCAAAGTATATACATCGTAGAGGTAATTTTATATTTTCGTTTTACATTTACCTTAATTTATATCAACGACTACAAACTGAATTTTCACTTCTTTGTTAGATTTATAGATTGATAGAAGTCCGCGGGCAGTTGGCCGAAACACTTGACTTTTTCCCAGTCTTCATTTATCACTCGGTGGTGCAAATTAAGATAACAAATTCATATGTTAGTATAAACAAGGTAATATTGTACACTCCATAATAAATGAATTTAATAAAATAATTTCGAATGTAAAAATTAAAAAAAATAAATTTATGAAAATTAATTTAGCAGATAATTAATAATGTTTTTAACAAATAAATTACGACAATAAAAATATTGACATGTTGAAATTTTAAAAAATTATAAATGCAATTTTTTAAAAATAATTTTTCAGAAAAAATTTGCTTGTTAAAAATTATCAAGTTACTGCTAATGTCATAAAAATTTTTTTTCACTAAATGTAATTAAATACTCAGTTTGTAGTAATGGGAAATGACGCATTTGAAAAAATACGGATTACTTGGTATGGAACCGGCCAAGTCATTCATTTGTTCTTCTTGAGTTACTTTGGAGAAAAATTAATAGAATACAGTGAGACTGTCAATGAATCATTGTAATTTTTTACTACTAACAATTTTTTTATTCAATCCTTGTTTTTAAATTTAAATATTGTTAATTTAACAGGTGTGCTGAAAATGAAAAATAAATTATTATAAATTCAAAATAATTTAAACTGTACTTACAAACAATAAAATTAATGGAAAATAATTAATTTATTAATATAATTGTAAACTTTTCTATAAAAAATCTTTTCTTATTGCATGAAAATGTATAATATTTGATATTGATTTGTGTGTCTTGTAGGAAGCTCTAGCTGCTACCACTGCCGAAATAAGAATAAGCTGAAACTTAGAACGCAGAGTATCTGAGATATCGATTATTAGTATAAAAGCTTTCTATAAAATATGCTCTTTCTTACCGAACTCAATTAATGTCCTTACAAAACTAGAATCTTTAGATCTTTGGATTTTGCAGTCTCTTTCAAGTCTTGTTATAGTAATATTCTATCAAAAACATGTTAGAGGTTGCTTTGTTTAAAAAAATGGACGTCTTTGATAGCATGCATTGGAAAACAACAAAGAAGCTATTGTCTGTGATAGGCGCTTGGCCGTTTCAGCCGGTCAGTCAGCGAAAAGCCCTCGGAGCTTTGTTTTACTTGATCATACAAAGTATCTACATAGCAGAGGTACTTTTTAATTTAATACTTAGTGCACTGTTTTTTAACAGATGAATTTAAGAAATATTTTTTTATTTAGATTTTGAAATTGTTTGTAGTATGGGGGAATTTAACAGATACTCTTGATTGTTTGCCGGTTTTTGTGTATCATTCTATGGTCCAAGTAAAAATGGCAAATTGTCTTTTTAAAATAAAACAGGTATGTAAATTTAGATTTTTTTTTTTATCAGAAATGTAATTTTTTATAATTTAATTATTATTACAGGTCAAAGTTATGTTACTGCAAATTAAGAGAGATTGGGAATCAGATTTATATGACCATGAAATTAAGATACTACGTGACGACGCACGAATTCATAAAGTTGTAATGAATTTTTATTCAAGTAATTTTTTAAAAATTACCTTTCTCTTTTCAAAAATAAAAATAAAAACTTTTACTGATCAAAATATAAAAAAAAAAATTTTTAATACTTTGATAAATTATTTTCAATTTACTCAGGCGGCTTATCTTCAGTAGCCGTTGTTTATGCAGCAGTACCAATAACACCAATATTCCTGGACTTGATTCTTCCATTAAATGAAACAAGACAGAAAATTTTACCTTACCCCACTGAATATTTTGTAGATACCGAGAACAATTTTTACATACTGTATATCCACGGTTTTATAGTGACCCTCATAGCATTATTCTATTTTCTCGCCTTTGATTTGACTTATGCGGGGTTGGTCTCGCATGCTTGCAGCATATTCACAATTATTGGGTAACTATAGCTTCAATTTTAATTCAGCATAACCTCAGAGGGGAACAATGATAAAAACAATTCCAGAGGACGCTTGAAGAACTTGACATCTGGAACAAAAGCAAAAGATAATTCTCTCAAGTCTTTGGTAGTTTGCATTAAAATGCACAAGGACATTTTGAAGTAAGTAAATATATTAAATATTTATATTACACTTGAGTATAAATTTCCTCAAAGATTTTCAGAACTTTTGGAAGAAAACTATACAAATTATTTTTTTCTATTGCTCGGTAATATTGTACTCGGGCTTACAGTTACAGGCTTTCAAGTTTGTACTTAAATATTTGTAATTAATAGATCTTGGTGCTAATAATAGTAAAAAAATGTTTAATTACAATTTTAGCTTACAGTTTTAGCGACGGATATCGGAGATAAAATAAAATGCATTTGGTACGGAACAGGCCAGGTGATTCATCTATTTGTTCTGAGTTATTTTGGCCAAAAATTAATCAACTGCAGCGAATACATCAATGAGTCAATGTAATTATTTTCAAACATCTCTGAAAAAAAAAAAAAATATCAGTTTCAATTTAATTACTCACATTTTTCAACAGATGCGAGTCTAAGTGGTACAATTATTCCCAAAAAACGAAACTGTTGATTATTTTGGTACTAATGAGAGGTAAAATAATAACGACGTTATCGGCTGGAAAAATTTACATAATGTCAATTGAAAACTTTTCTTCCGTAATGAAATCGTCAATGTCTTTTTTCACCGTTTTAACATCTGTCCAGTGATTGTTTTTTGTTAATTAGTTTTATATTTTTTAAAACTAACATTGTTACGTAGATATTTATGTTAAATCCAATAATTAATAAATTAATTTATATTTAATAAACGTCCAGATTATTAATTGAACTTGTCATGAACACTTCCATGTTTTACTTCACTAATATCAACAACTGATCAATTTATTTGTGAACGATTTATAGTTTTTGAAAGATACTGTGCTGCTTGGGAAAATTTAGCAGAAACTCTTTACAGTATCCCGATCCTTGTATATTTTTCCATGATTCAAGTCAAAATAACAAACTGCCATTTAAATTGAAAAAAGGTCAGTATATTATTTATTTTTATTTGGATTGATAACGAATGATTTAATTTATTTTGATAACAGGCTAAATATTTATTACATCAAGTAAAAAAAGACTGGGAATCTAATTCATCAAGTTTATATTGTTTTATCATTAATGTAACCCATCCTCGATATTTTATTCCGTTAAATGAAACGAGGGAAAAAATTTTACCGTATCCAGCTCAGTACTTTGTAGACATCCAGAATCATATTTTTTGATTCGTATATTTTACTCCATCACTTTATGGCGATAATTGATCTTGCATGGGCCTTTGTAACGTTTGAAACAAATTACTTCACGATGCGTCAAGCTGCTTGCAGTATGTTCACAATTATCGGGTATTTACATCCATTCAAAATTTCAGTTTTATTTGAAACAATAAATTTTTATTAATAATAATCTCCATTTTTCAGGAGACGCTTACGCAATTTAGGCGACGGACTAGATATGATTGCAAGTAATAAAGTAAAAAGTGAATTAATGAAATCAATTGCTGTTTGTGTAAAAATGCATCAAGAAGCGCTTGAGTTGAGTTTTATTTTTTTGTAAAAATTCATTTACAAATTAACTGTTTTAATTAATAAAAAATTTTTTTAGGTTTGTTTCGCTTTTAGAAGATAATTATAATTTTTTTCTACTGTTAGTGCTCACTGTAAATGCTATAGGCTTGAGTACTATAGGTTTTCGAGTTAGTATTAATTAACTCTTTCTCAAAAAAATCCAAAAATATTTTTAAAATTATTATTCAAGTTTGTAGCGATGGCTCAAAGCATGGAAGACAACATACAATGCTGTGCATTTCTTTTTGGTCAAGTATTGTATATTTATTACCTGAGTTCTTTCGGCCAAAAGTTGATGGACCACAGCGCATATGTTTTTGAGTCAATGTAATCAATTAGAATTAATATAATTTATATTTTAATTCTTAAAATAATTTTATCAATTATTTATTTAGATGTGCCGCTAAAACCTACAATTTTCCTCCTGAAATGAAACCGATGGTGGTTTTACTGATGATGAGAAGTAATATAGTTTGCAGACTCTCAGGTGGAAAACTTTTTTTCATGACTCTAGAAAATTTTGCTAATGTAAGTACACAGTATTAGTTTTAAATTACACTGAAAAATTAATAAAATAAAAAATTTAATAGGTCATGAAGACATCCTTCTCATACTGTACAATCCTTTTGTCACTGCAATAATTAATTGATAATTATAGTAACAATGACTGTCACTACTCTTCATTAATAGTATTTAAAATAGATATTATATTTATGTATACGCACAAATTAAACAAAGCCAGAATCATTTAAAAATGACTTACTGCTGATAATTTATAAATTTTAGATTTTAATAATCTGAAAATGCAAAATAAATTATTATAAATTAAAAATTTTTTAAACTGTACTTACAAACAATAAAATTTATCAAGAATAATTAATTTATTAATATAATTGTAGACTTCTCTATAAAAAATATTTTCTTGTTGCTTGAAAGTGTATTAATATTCGATATTGATTCGAGTGTCTTGTAAGCAATTCTAGCTGCTACCACTGCCGAAATAAGGATAAACTGAAACTCAGAACGCAGAGTAACCGAGATATCGATTTTTATTATAAAAGCTTCCTATAAAATATGCTCTTTCTTACAAGACTCGTTTAATGTCCTTCCAAAAACTAGAATCTTTAAACCTTTGAATTTTATAGTCTCTTTCAAGCCTTGTTACAGTAATATTCCATAACAACATTGTCAGAGGTTATACTTTGTTTAAAACAATGGACATCTATGATAGCATGTATTGGGGATCAACAAAGAAGCTATTGTCTATGATAGGCGCATGGCCATTTCAACCGGTCAGTCAGTGAAAATCCCGCCGAGCTTTGTGTTACATAATCATACAAAGTATCTACATAGTAGAGGTACTTTTGAATTTAATATTTTCGACACTGGTTTTTAACAATTAAATTTAAAAAATATTTTTTAATTATTTAGATTTTTAAATTGTCTTTAATAATGGGAAATTTAACAGATATTATTGATTGTATGCCGGTTTTTGTGTATCATTATGTAATCCAAGTCAAAATGGCAAATTGTCTTTTTAACGTAAAAAAGGTATGTAAATTTAGATTTTTTTATCAGAATTGTAATTTTTTATAACTTAATTATTTTTACAGCTCAAAGTTATGTTACTCCAAATTAAGAGAGATTGGAAATCAGATTTATATGACCATGAAAAGAAGATATTACGTGATGACGCACAGATTTATAAAGTTGTGATGAATTTTTATGCAAGTAATTTTTTTAAAATTACTTTTCTATTTTTAAAAATAAAAATAAAAACTTTGACTGATCAAAATATAAAAAAAAAAAATATTTAATGCATTGATAAATCATTTTTAATTTACTTAGGAAGTTTATCTACAGTATCTATTCTTTATGCTACACTACCAATGACAACAATAATTCTGGACTTGGTTCTTCCATTAAATCAAACAAGGGAGAGATTGTTGCCCTACCCTACTGAATATTTTATTTTGGATCCTGTAAACGATTTTTACATATTGTACCTCCACACCATTATAGTGACCGCTACAACATTATTCTTTTATTTCGCCCTTGACTTGACTTATGCGGGGTTGGTCTCACATGCTTGCAGCATGTTCACAATTCTTAGGTAACTATAGCTTTGAGGGGGAACACCACTGTGACGATCGAAAAAGAGAGGTGATTTTCGGGAATTTCTTTGACAAGGCATATAAAAGAATTTGGGAATCGGATTTTTTTATTTTATTAAGGGTACATTAAAGATTATTACCCTAAATTTTTATTAAAACATATTTAATTATTACAAAGTTATTAACAATCTCGTAGATCACTAGAAAAAATTTCCCCATTCATGGTCGGTTCGATAACTCAAAAACGGATCATCAGAAAATAAAAACCCAAATCGCTTTTTAATCAGTAAGGATGTAGTTATCGTCGCACGTAGGGAATTTTGAAAATTTTAATTTAGAAAAAAATGGCGACTGATTGAAAATTTTCTCACTATTCTTACTGTTTTTTTTTTGTTTTAACCTGGCTAAATAAATCTTTAAAATAAAAATTTTTCAAAGTCCGTACGTGCGACGATAACTACATCCTTACTGATTAAAAAACAATTTGGCTTTTTATTTTTAGATGATCCGTTTTTGAGTTATCGAACCGATCATGGAAGGGGAATTTTTTTCTAGTACTCGACGAGATTGTTAATAACTTTGTAATAATTAAATATTTTTTAATAAAAATTTAGGGCAATAATCTTCAATGTACCCTTGATAAAATAAAAAAAAACCCGATTCCCAAATTTCTTTATTTTCCTTGTCAAAAAAATTCCCGAAAATCACCTCTTTTTTTCGATCGTCACAGTGGCCACGGTGTTTACAATTTACAAATAAGTGTTGTTTTTTAATATAAAATTAAAGCTTTTCAACTACCTTGATATTTTCTGGATCTTTATATTTTATCAGTACCAACATATTTTTCAAAAATGCTACAATTTGAGAAAGTTTGATAAAATACATAATTTTCTATTTTAAAAAATGCCTTTTTTAGCCTTCTCTTAACCCAACTGTACTTAACTGTTAATTATACTCTTTCATATAGCTAGTATAAACACTTCTTCATTATTAAAATAACGTAAAGCATTGAAATTTTCAACAACACGATTTGATTCTGTTTTTATGATTAAGTCGATTCATATAACTCTGAATATCTATTAATTTTTCTTAATTCTCAAGTCTTTCAAATTTCATACAACTTACTTAGGGCTAATATTTCAATCCGAGATAAAATTTTATCCATAGTTAAATTATGTTCATATAATTCACATAGATAGATATAATGACAATAATTTTATCCTGGATAAAGTTTAATTCCGAATTAAAAAATTGGCCCTTTAAGAAAATAATTTTTTTCATTGGGGTATTTCACTTATATTGAAATATTTTTGAAATATCACATAAATAATTTTCAACAAATTAAATTGTGGGTATAATGGTAAACAATTCATTATCGTGTACAGCCTCTTTTAACGTTTATCAACTTTAAAGAAGTAAAGCATTATAAAAGGTGGAATAAGGCGCTAAACTTTTCAACAGTAAAGCATATTCTGTAACGTTTCGTGTCATAACTTAGAAAGAAGTCATATTAAATTATTAACTTTATACCTTTAGAATAATGAAAGTACTACAAATAGATATAATTACTTACCATTTGCAAGTACGTGATTACAAATAATATTTAATAGTTAGTAATGTACAATTATTTCTTATCAAAATTTCATCAAATTTGATTACTTTCAACTACGTTGTTTTTTTTTTAACTTATTTACTGGAAATATGTTACGAAATATATTTAATTTAATAAAGTATAAGAAGCAAAAATAATTTTGGCCAAGTTGTAACGGTTATGTGCTAAGAACTATTATTTGTAGGTTGTTGTAGCCTCACTAATTTGGCTGCTAAGCACACACAGTTAAGCCATCTATAGATTTTCATGGGTGAGTTTGTAGTAAATACACATACTCGTAGTTATGAAAGCTAGAGCCCCCAGTTCTTTTTGTTCTTTTTACAGTCAGCGACAAGTATTTCTCCCGTACACAGTGTTGTATAGCCCAAAATTGGCTATAGTAAATTTATTGAGTTCTTTTAATTCGCCCGTTGGAACGCGGTAGGGCGTTCAACTCCGGTAAATAGATTAAGGCGGGAGAGTAGATTTAAATTCGAATAAGTTGAATTAAATAATATATATAATAAATTTAAAATACTCGGATTATTTTAGTTTAATTTAGATTTGCCTTGCGCGCAAATCTATTATTTATTATTCAATAAATTACAAAATAAAAAGTACCGACAATAATTCCGAAAAGGAAAATATTCGCGTGGCGTACTTAAGTCTTGCTTATTGATAAGTGTCTTCTTGTTTTTTGGTTTTCGACTCCCCTGGTTGAGATGTTCGTACTTTTAGAGTGGGAGAGGCCCAGAGGGTAGTGAGGGTAGTTGCGCGCGCCTCTGCAGCTCTCATCTTCGGCTAGCATCCCTTCCCGAGTTGGCAAAATGGGACCATGTTGAAATGACGTCACGATGACCCTTGATGTTTCCAGGTCATTTGCAGCCCACCTGGATATCTGGTTTTTATGACCTAGCCTTGGGTACTCGAGTAATCCCTTTCTTAGCGAACGTTTTGGAAAATAAGCTTCTTAAAAGATTATGACAATAAAAATTAATAAATAAAGACGATTACTACGGCTACGTCGTCTGCATATGCTACGAGTTTTATACTTCTTAGCAATTTCAATCTCAATAGGCCATCGTACATGATATTCCACAGCAGTGGACCAAGTACAGAGCCCTGGGGTACACCTCCGGTAATATCATACTCTTTTAGACCATGTGTGTGTGTGTGTGTGTGTGTGTGTGTGTGTGTGTGTGTGTGTGTGTGTGTGTGTGTGTGTGTGTGTGTGTGTGTGTGTGTGTGTGTGTGTGTGTGTGTGTGTGTGTGTGTGTGTGTAAACCTCTCATAACTTTTGAATGGCTTGAACGATTTCATCGCGGTTGACGTCATTCGAAAGGAATTGACCAAACTTAGATTTTGAATACTACTTTGGTCGATTCGGACCGGTAGATTTTGAGAAATCTCAAAAAAACTACGAAAAAAAAATTTTTTGAATGTAGTTTTTTGGAATAACTTTTAAACGGCTCTACCGATTGATTTAAAAAACTAATCAGCTTTTAACATCAAAAAACCACGTCGATTGCCACCAAGCCGGTCAAAATTAGTTGATTCGTTCGTGAGTTATCGTTGAAGAAAAAAAACCGAAAAAAGTGTTTTTTCGGAATTACTTTGAAATACCGAGTTCAATCAATTTAAACTTAACAATTCTTTATGAGGCTTAAAAAACTGCGTCGAATGCCGCCAACCGCGTGAAAATCGGTTAATTCATTCAAAAGTTATTGTGGTTTGAAAATTTAAAAAATAGTGTTTTATTAAACTTCTACCAGACTTTTGAGCTCGGAGAGCTCAAAAACGTAATAAGTGCAATTTTGAGCGCTTAAGTATGGAATTAACGGGAATATGATTAATAATTTACAGTGGGATGCTTTTCAATATCCATAATTTACATTTGTGAGCCAATGGTTCCGATATTACTTGATATAATTATGCCGTTAAATGAATCAAGACCAAGAGTATTGCCATTTCCAACTCAATACTTTGTGAATCCCAAAATACATTTTAATAAACTTTACGCTCATCAGTTTTTAGTCAATTGGACAGCTATAACGGCGTTTTTTGCATTTGACGCATTGTATGTAGCTTTTGTACAACACGCTTGTACAATGTTCACTATAATTGGGTAATTAATTTTATTTATTGTCAGCACTAGCAATAATAAAAACTTTCGAGTTATAACAGTAGCAATAAATTGTTAGAAACCGTTTGAGAAATTTGACTGCCGACAACGATCAAAACGAAAGCGGTATCAATGCACTGGTAATTTGTATAAAGATGCACAAGGATCTTCTAAAGTAAGTAGTTTTAATAATAATTATGATTATTTTTTTTTTTTATAAATTATATTATTTTTGATTCTCGAAGGTTTACTTCGCTTTTAGAAGAACATTACACCAATTACTTTTTGTTTATGCTGGGTGTCATTGTGTTGATGCTAAGCGCTACGGGTTTTCAAGTTTGTATTTTAAAAATTTTTTGAAAAATTTATGAATGTTAATTTAGCCGATATTTAATAATTTTTTTAGCAAATAAATTATGGCAAAAACAATATTGACATGCAGAAATTTAAAAAAATTATAAATGCAATTTTTTTTAAATAATTTTTCAGAAAAAATTTGTTTGTTAAATAAAATTAAAAAATTATCAAATTACTGCTAATGTCATAAAAAATTTATTTCACTAAAAAAGTAATTGAATACTCAGTTTGTAGTAATGGAAAATGATGCATTTGAAAAAATACGGATTGTTTGGTATGGAACCGGCCAAGTCACTCATTTGTTTTTCTTGAGTTACTTTGGAGAAAAATTAATAGAACACAGTGAGACTGTCAATGAATCATTGTAATTTTTTTACTAATAACAATTTCTTTTTTTAATTCAATCTTTTTGTCTTTAAATTTAAATATTGTTATTTTAACAGATGTGCTGCTAAATGGTATAGTTTTCCTCAGAAGATGAAAATTTTGTTTATGATAATGATGATAAGAAGTAAGTCGGTCTCATCATTAACTGCAGGGAAAATTTATGTTATGTCTGTAGCGAACTTTGGCGCCGTTATGAAGTCATCGTTTTCGTATTTTACAGTTTTAACTTCGGCCCAGTGATTATATTTTTTAGTAGTTGTTTATTATTTAATTTTATCACTGAATATTATAAAGTTAATAGATAATATATTCTGGATACCATAAATATAAATTTTCAGATCTATTTATTTTTAATTTAATATTATTAAATTATTTTGCAGTTTAGAATTTTTATGAAAAAAAAAAAAAAAAATAAAATAAAACTTACCTTAAATCATGTTACAATTTTGTTTTTCGCATTTTAAATGTGACCAAAAAAAAATATCAAAATAAAAGTTTCTCATTATAGCCAGATAACTTTATTGTAAAATGGATAGAATGAAAATAAACTTCTTCTTGATATAAACCCGATATTGATCTCCATTACACCGTTGGAATATTAATAAAAAACTAAAAGGCTTCCGATTCATGATATCAGCGTATCATTAAATATTCATTTTCCAATATTCCGCGATTGATGTCTACGAAGTAGTTAATCTTATAATCTTTTAGTCTCTTTTAAGTCTCGTTACTGCAAAACACTTTCAAAGACATGCAATATTATTCTTTTTTTAACAATGGACGTCTTTGATACCCTGTATTGGAGGAAAACAAAGTATCTTTTGTCCGCGATAGGAGTATGGCCTTTTCAGCCGGTCAGTCAGCGAAGAATTCTCGGGACTCTTGTTTACTTGATCATACAAAGTATATTCATTTGTGTGGTACTTTATAAAACTTTAAATTTTTTAAATCAATAACAGTTTAATTTATTTGTAAACGATTTATAGTTTTTGAAAGTCGCTGTTGCTTGGGGAAATTTAGCAGAAACTCTTTACAGTATTCCGATCCTTGTATATTTTTCCATGATTCAAGTCAAAATAACAAACTGCCACTTAAATCTAAAAAAGGTCAGTGTATTAATTATTTTTATTTAAATTTAAAATAAATTATTTAATTTATTTTGACAACAGGCTAAATATTTATTACTTCAAGTAAAAAAAGACTTGGAATCTAATTTAGAAGACTCAGAATTTGAAATTCTACGTAATGACGCCCGGATTCATCAAATGATAATGAATGTCTATTACAGTAAATTACTAAACTTGAATTATGGAAATATTTTTAGTGAAACAAATTAAAAAAATTTTTTTTAACCTTTACAGGTGGATTGATATGTGTAGCGACAGTTTACATTGTTTTACCATTAATGTCACCCATACTCGATATTTTTATTCCATTAAATGAAACAAGGGAAAGAATTTTACCGTATCCAGCTGAGTACTTTGTAGACATCCAGAAACATTTTTTTTTCTTCTATCCTCATGGTGCAATAGTCACTCCCATTGCGTTGACTGTTCTGGTAGGGTTTGATTCACTTTACGCAGGTTTTGTTCAACACGCATCCAGTATGTTCACCATTATTGGGTAATTAGCAATAATCTGAAAATAAAAATAATAATAATTAATGATAAAACTTATATTAAATTGCTAGAAAACGTTTGGAAAATTTAGCAGAAGGTAATGCGAAAAAAAATTTAATTAATCGAGACAATCGCTTGAACTCATTTATAACTTGCTTAAAAATGCACCGCGACATTCTGCAGTAAGTAAAATAATTATTAGGATTTAATAAAAATTTTTTTTATAATACTTTTATGATCTTAGATTTGTGAAGCTTGTGGAAAAATATTACTCGAATTATTTTTTCGTATTACTCGGTGTCATTGTTGTTGGATTGAGTGCGACAGGCTTTCAAGTTTGTATTTTTTAATTTTAAATTATCAACATAATTTTAAATAATAAATTCAGTTTGTAGTTTTGCTGAGTGGGATTGGTGAAAAAATCCGGTGTCTCTGGTATGCAATGGGCCAAGTCACTCACTTATTTTTTCTGAGTTACGTCGGACAGAAGCTCATTGACAATAGTCAGTGCGTCAATGCTTCATTGTAATTATTTTTATATAAATACCTAAGATAAAAGACTCAGTTATTGACACTGGCCTAGATGTTTGACACTTGCAATTTTATTCTAATTAAACAAAATTAAATGTTCTCAAAAATCCAATTTTCTTAAAATTTATAATTTAAAAATTATATTTATTAATTTATTAGAGTTGATTTTTTTTTTAATTAAAATAAAATTGCAAGTGTCAATAATTGGATCTTTTACCTTACGAACTTGAATTTAATTTATAATACTAAAGTTAGCCGACGTTTCTAATTTTTTTTTCTTTTCATTTATTAAATTAGCACAAAAAAATATTTTCTAAAAATTGCACTTAAAGCTTACCCAGTTTTTTACAAATGAAAATTTTTTTCTTGTCTTTTTGTAATAATTTTTTCAATAAAAAAAATTATAAAAATTTTTAGATATCGGCTAACTTAATTTTCACATTAAATTTTTCCTTTGACAGATGCGCAGCCTCGTGGTATAATTATCCCAAAGAAATAAGAATCTTGACGATTATGATACTGATGCGAGGAAGAATAACATCACGGATAACCGCCGGTAAAATTTATACCATGAGTGTGGAAAATTTCAGCTCTGTAATGAAAACTTCAATGTCATATTTTGCCGTTCTCACGTCAATGGAGGCATAAGTATATTTAATAAATTTATAGATACCACATTAACTATAATCAATTTAAATTTAATCAGCTGATTAAAATTAAAATAATGATTTATTTTTCTTGTATAAAAATATACATTTATTTTTTCTTCAATGTTGGAAAAATTTTTTTTAAAATAAAAATTGTCAGTTAATAATAATTACTTTAGTACATTATAAAATTAAAGCACAATTTTATAATTATAATTACACTTGTAAAAAAAAAATAATCACACAAAAAACTGACACTTTAAAACACCAACACTGCATCCAAGAACACATCACCGACTGCTTTTGAAACAAAACGTCGGCTTTACTCGGGCACACTCGACTTCCCGACTCGATCCGAAGAAAAAATATTTCTTAGCATCTCTGGCAGGTGGCGCATTTTTTCGTTTAAAAACAGTCTTCCCGCCTAATCCGTGCGTGGTGCCGTCTAAAGTGTTTACAATTGCTTTAATTACCAGTAAAACCAGTTAATTTAGTGAAAGCTTGACAGCTATCACTTCAGTTTCACTCTACACTCTCTCAGATGACATCAAACTAAAGGTAAGCTTTTTTAAATAAATAAAATTCTCTCGAAAAATTTTTCTGTGTATTCTAACCTATTTATTTTTTATTTTCCAACATAAATACAATTTGTTTTTTCATAACTAATTTATTTTTAATAAAATATCAATGAATAAATTATTTAAAGAAGCAATGATAATAAATTTAATAATTCATCATAATTTTTCGCAATAGTTAGATTCAATAAGAATAAGAATAGTTATCAGTATTTTAAATGCATGTGATTGCTATCTAAAGTCTCTACAATAATAATCCTCTGTTATAAGCAACAAAAATAATTTTAGATTTATCTTTATATTTAATTGATAACCTCAATAATTGAGTTCTCATATATTTATTAATAAAATCAACATAAGCCCTCTTCATACTCGTCATAATCTTTACTTTTATCTTTTTCTTCAACTGGACTAGGAGTTTTTTCTTTTTCTTTTTCCTCTTCTTCTTCTTCTTCTTCGTCTTCGCCTAGTTCTTTCGTGATATTAGTCGCCGCCATAGCTTTTTCAATGGGCTCGGTTTCCTGGACAAAAAGAAAATTTTATTCCATTCCATAATAAAAAAATCATTCAAAATAATAACAACAGCAACTACTAACATGGCTAACTTCTGCGCGAACTGTCTCGCGCTGTTTATCCTGTACCGAAGACGAAACATAGGGCTCTGCGGCATTGGGTCTCACCCCAGCTGGTGGTACTGCGTACTCTTGCTGAGGGAGAGGTAATCCTCGAGCCAACTTAGCATACTCAACATCCATGTGCTTTATAAACGGACTATTAAGCGCAGCGCGAGCTGCATTGGCATCTTCATTGTCATAGGCTTGCAGAAGCATCTCCAATGTTTGGATCTTTAAGCAATTTTACAATTCATTAATTCGCCTTTTAATCATCAATAAATAATTAACCCGTAGTGGTCATTATGGGTCTAGATGATCTCGGGCAATTTTTGAGTTGCTCTTCCTTCGAAGATATCATTCAAAATGGTATCTGTGATACCATCTATTATTGTTTGAAAATTTTTTGAGATTAATGGAAATTTACGATTTCAATTGCACAAATCAATATACTTTTTGAAAAGCTCGACATGACACCACTTTTTTTTCAAAGTATGCGATATCCGGAGTAGAATCCCGGAGATCATTTCGGCTGCCCAATTTCAAAACACAGTAACATTTAGAAATTTTTAAAAGTTTTTCTTATTAAAAAAAAGTTTGCCTACTAAATTGATGAAAAATTTGATTTATGAATAGAAAATACTTGAATATAAATATTAAAAAAAAAATACTTGAAATTAAGGTCTAAAAGTTATAAAAAAATGCAGCAATATTAAAAAAAATTAGGTATAAAAATTTATGAAAATTAATTTAGCAGATATTTAATAATTTTAAGAATCTTTATAATAAATAAATTACTGCATAAAAAAATAATAAAAAAAATTGACATTTAGAAAATTTAATAAATTAAAAATGCAGTTTTTTAAAAATAATTTTTCGGAACAAATTTTTTTGTTAAATAAAATTAAAAAATAGTTAACTGACAGCTAACTTTAATATCATTAAAAATTTTGCAGTTACTGTGTTTTAAAATTGGGCAGCCGATTTTCATTTATCTTAAAAAATGAAGTTTTTAGTAAAAAAAAGTTAAATTATTCGAACTTTGGCTTTCTCGCATTTTTTTTTGTATAATTAAACAATTAAAAAAAATTAAAAAACGATTGAGTTATTCAACGGAAGTGTTAAGAATTACTCTCATGTACGGCTGGAGTGAAAATATTGAAAAGAACGCAAGTAGCATTAATTTTTTTCGTGCATAGGGTCAACTAGAGCCAGTATGACCACTACGTTATTTTTAAAAAGTCTGACCACTACGGGTTAATTTAATAAGCGAATAATAAATAACCTCTGGGGCATCACAATAATTCCCCCATTCTCTAAAGGCTTTCTCAGCAGCGACCTGGTCACCTCTCGCCAACTGTATCAGCACCAACACGACAGCCAACCGTCCCACTGACGGCTGATGTTCAATTCGTTGATGCATGTCTATTTCTCGGCGGATTGCGTTGGCAGCTTCGTCGTATTTTTTTAATTTAACAAATATTCTTGCTACGCGGCTCAAATATTCCGCAGCTTGTCGCGGACTATCTTCACCCTGTAATCAATAATTCGGTAAAAACATTCATACCGTCAAGTTTAATTGGTTAATTAATAACAATAACAAAAATTAACCAAAACAATCTCAGCTGCGCGTTGAAATAATGGTAAAGCAGCTTCGGGATCACTTGACTCCAACATTTTGCCAGCCTTGTCAAGAACTGTCGCTCCAGACTCTTGTGACCCGTGTTGTTGATACAGAGAACATGACCGATGTGCCAATTTCGGTACTTCTGACATCTCATTCATGTCTCTGCATATCAGCAACACTTGTTCTAAACTCCTGGACAAAATAAATCAAATAAATCCATTACTTGTCACAAAAATTATAAAAAATACTTACTTAGCAGCATGGAACCATCTAATAAATTATTAAGGATCTTACAGATAAAAATTGACATAATTATAAATAAATACTTATACAAATAAAAGGATACGATCGATTTTCCTTATAACAATCAGAAGCTTTTACTAGCGCTTCCTTGCATTGTTTAAAAGACTTTGCAATCCTGAAGCAAGTAGCTAAAAAACAAATGAACTCACCCAGTTAACAATACTGATTTTATTAGATAGGATATCATTAATAAAAATTATTGATTTTTAAAAATACCTGCTTGGTTGTACTCATCGGCAGCAACTTCGTAGTCGGGTCTCCATTTCAGCAAGGTTGTTTTTAAACTAAAAACAATTAACAGGAATATAATAATAATTATGAGAGAATGTTGGAAAAAAATTACCTTTTTTCCGCAGCTCGCATGTGAGCATTGCCCTCCTCAATCTTCGACATTTTTTTTTTTATGATTTTTTATTTATTTGTCAGTGACAAATTGAAAATTTTAATTCTTTTGGTGCTTGTCAAAAATCTAGACTACGTCGAAATCCTTATCTTTTTCCAACACTAACACATGTATGTCAATACACACTCGATAATTGTCATAATTAGTAATAAAATGTCACTAGAAATTTTTTTTCTAGGGGAAACAGTTGGTATATAACATTTAAGTCCCCAAAGAAACATTCTTGTTTTCAACTGTTATAATAAAAATTATTTTTCATTCAACTTATCGGAGAAATAAATGATAATTAAATTAATTATTTATAAAATTAACAATTGTAATACTTTTATTATCTCAATAATTAATAAGTGGGTCATTTTTTTAACTCAGTATTTAAAAGTGCAAAAAAAGTTGGCGGGAAATTGTTTGTGTGATTGTTTACAAATTTATTAATTATTAAATTAATATTTTATGATAATTAATATTTTTAATTGTTCAATAATACATACAAATATATAAAAATGTAAGTACTTAATTTTTTAATCTATAATTATTATAAAACTTAGACATAACCTCAAAATTTATTATCAAGAAATTTATAAAAAGTGTGTTTTTATTTTAGATGGCTGAAAAATTAGAAGATCTGAATCTACCCAATGCAGTGGTGACTCGAATTATTAAAGAAGCGCTTCCAGAAGGAGTGACAATCGGCAAGGAAGCCAAAGTAGCTGTCGCGAAAGCCGCGTCTATTTTCATCTTGTACCTGACAACCTCAGCGAACACCGTCGCCAAGAAAACTAACCGGAAAACGATAACGGGTCCAGATGTCCTCCAAGCCATGGAAGACATTGAGTTTGACAGGTTCGTAGATTCGCTCCAGGACGCGCTCAACAATTTCCGAAAGTCCCAGAAGGAGAAGAAGGACGCGAGTAAGAAAAAGACCCAGAAGCCTGATGACAAAGACAGCAACGAGGTGGAAATGATCGATGACGAGTAACTGGGTTTTTTTTTTAATTTATTTTAATATTGTATTACATTAAAAACTTTTTACACGGTGTATTTATAAAGATTAACAATTAAATTATTATTATTATTAATTATTAAAGTCTATTCATTCAGTACTCACTTAACTTTGGTTTACAAAGGATTTAACGAGGCACAAAAATGCAATTTACTTTTTGTTTTTTTTGTTTCACGTATTCACTCTCATTAAGCCGTTAAAAAATTTGCTGATAATTAGGCAATTGTGGTATAAAAACCTTTAATTTAATTATTAAAAAATTTATATTATTAATATGAAATTGGATTAGTTTTAAAAAAGCAATTTGTGAATTCTAGTGATTTTATTTAATGAAAGCTTTGTGATGAGTATTTTGATAAAAATTAATTTTATTTTTTTCTATAAAAAAAAAAAAAAATTATTGGAATGGAAATTCAAGGCCTGTGCACTTGAATTTTGCGCTGTATAGAGCCGCGGCACATTGGGCATTCGTTTATTACCATATTCGAACATTTCGCGCAACAACATAGATGACCACATGGTATAAAAATTATTTCACACTGAAAAAAAAATAAATTACAATCAATTAAATCCATAAGTAACTATAATTATTAATTAGCACTAAAAAATAAATTACTCACCTGTGAATCAAAACAAACGACACATTCAGTCATATCAACCCGTGAAATATCTCTGTCTTGTGAATTTGTACTACTGCTACACGGTTCATCAATCGGCGCCGTTGGTAATTGCGTTTCTTCTGAGCTTAATTTTTTCTCCGCATTATAATTTTCTACCGCCAATATAATGGCTTGTCTATCATCTGCATTATTGATTCCAATCTAAAAAAAAATTATTAATCGAATTAATAAAAAATATTGATGCTATTAGAGCAAAATAAATTTTTTACAAACCGAAATAAGTTGATCGTGATCAACATTGGGCAACAGTGACGGCAGAGAAGCCAAAAAAGGTAGGCAGTGTAGAGCCCCAGCGATCGCTACGTGTCTGACTAGCATTGGCTCCAACCCTTCGAGCAATCCTTGAGGCCGCGCTTCCATTAGCGACTGATACTGCATCAGCCAGAACAAACTTCCGCGACGTTCGGTATCGTTATCGCGGCTTAATTCTATTTTCTTAATCGTCTCCAGTAGCTCTGCCCGTCTTTTATCTTGCTGTTCCAACAAACCCACTAGGATGTTACTCAATATAATTCTCTTGTCAGAAATATCATTCTGAAAATAATGAAAATTGATAATTAATTACACACACTGAGAAAAAAATTTTTTGTTCAGAAAAAAATTTCTTGCCTCAAGAATCGTTTAAAATAAATTTTGGTTATTTGAAAAAAGAATATCAATATCTATCATGATAATTAAATATTGGCATTAATTTTAATAGATTAGCAAACGAATAGGTTCACTTGAATTAAACAAAAAATAATTCGATCAATTCTTGAGACAAGAAAAAAATTTTCCCATCTTGAGAAAATTTTTCTTTTGAATATTTGATACCCATTTTATATTATTTTAGCGTGCAATTATATAAATTATTCAATATTATTTGATCTTTCCATTTGTCATGCTAATCAATAAAAATTTACTTCTATCGAGATATTTAATTTTTTGGAGCAAGAGAGAAATTTTCTCGAGACAGGAAAATTTACTTTTATCAAGAAATAAATTTTTTGGAGTAAGAGGCTGAATTTTCTCAAAACAAAAAGATTTTCTTGGCTTAAATAAATTTCCTTGGATCAATATACGTATTTCTTAAAGCAAGAGAATTAATTTAGTTGGAATAAGTGAAATTTCTTGTCAAAAAAAATTTTTTTTCGCTCAAGAAAAAAATTAGGAAGAAAAATATTTTCTTGGCTCAAGTGAACCTTTTTTTCTGTGTACCTATACAATAAAATTGACTCAAAACTCACAATTTGTTGAGTAATTTCCAATTTCTTTCGCTCCAACTCAATATTAGTCAGAGTAACTAACTGGGACTGGATCAAGTACACTTGTTGGACGATACTCCAAGACCTGGCATCACTGCGCTCCAACAGAGCCGTCAGAGCAGCCTTTTGCAGACCCTCATCCCTGCGCAGCTGATTAATCATCTCTTCACGGTCTTGTTTTTGATTTTTAACTATTGAAGCTAGGTGATTATTACTCCTTAATTCTAACGTTAACAACGATTGAGCATTACAGTCTCGGAATTTGTTATACTCTTCTATTTTTTTCTCCGTTAATAATTCTTCTTTCAGCAGCTCCTCCATCGACACTGGAAAAATTCAATAAATTAATTAGTAAAATTATTTCTTCATCAATAAATAAATAATAAAATAAATTACAGAGAGTTTCACGAGTCCGGCATAAAGATTGATCTAAATGAGACTGCGACAACAATTCCAGCTGCTCTTTATTCTCCATCTCCAAAAGCTGAGCTTGTGCGAGCCGTTCAGCTTCCGAGTTCCTCAAAAATTTCTCAATAACGCTGTCAGCTTCTTGTTCAGCGTTGTAAATAAAAGACAATAATTTATTGCGATTTAATTCGCGTTCTTGCTGGACTCGTTCGATCTCCGACTCTAGTCTCGTCTGCTGCTCCACCAAGTCCTCCAGCAATTTCTTCTTCATGTCTTTGTTAATAGACTGCAGATGTAACTCATACTCTTGTTGCTCTCGGATGTTCTTCTCGACCTCCAGCAAAGCATTCTGACGTCTCTCCTAAAAAAAAATTACTTTTTACAATTATTTTAATTCTAAAAAAAATTTTATGAATTGTAAAAAGCGCGATTGATGGATAAAATAAAATAGATGATTAAACGTGCCTTTGATGTTTCTAGTTGCATTAATGCTACCTAAGGAACAAAATAAAATAACGCATTAAATAAATAAACAGGTAAATAAATAAAATAATTATAATTTTTTTTTTATCAAGTAAAAACCTGTAAATTATCTTTAGTCTCTACCAGCCTTTCATTATCATTATTATGTAATTTTTCCAATTGTGCATCCAGAAATGCATCACGCGTCGCGTAATTGACACCCAACTCCTGCGCCAAGTACGCGACAATTGCTATGGCACCACCTTGGACAACAAATAGCGGGGGATAAATTAAATCAACATTATCTAGCTTTAACTCTATCAATTTTTGTGCTTCTCCTAGTGACTTTGGTAATTTTGTCAGCGGGTTATCACTTATGTCCAGGATATTCAAATTTTTTAAACTTCCCATTGTGTCTGGAAGAAATTTTAATTTATTATTCGACACATTCAGGATCTTAAGCTTTGATAATTCAGTTATTTCTGTTGGTAATTTTTTTAAATTATTATTCTGCAAATAAAGTTCCTAGAAAGTAAATAAATAAATTAATAAATAAATAAATAAATTTAAATTGATTAAATATTAAAAAAAAGACTTACTTCAAGTAACTCTAGATGATAAATATCACTCGGTAAATTAGCAAACTCATTGTCGCTAATATCAAGTAATTTGATCAGCGATAAATCCTCCAATTGCCCGCCTCCGGATAATGAAGTTAATTTATTAACATTTAATTTTAATTCTTTTTTTCTAAATACTTTGCAAAGTGAAAATATACCCGACGGAATTGTTTTTAATGCACAATTTGAAATATCAAAAATTGGTTCTGGATTTTCTCTTGCCTGAAAAAAAAATTATAAATTTTAAATGTCAATGTCAAACGCAATGTGACGCAATATGTAAATAAAAAATAAATAAATTAGTTTATTTACCAGGTATAATTTATGCTCGAGTCGCGCTTTGAAGTCGACGGTGTATTTATTATTATGCTTTCTAAACGACATTTTTGTACTTATGTCAGGACGATGATATATTATTGTTAGGTAGCATTACTGATTATTTATTTACTTTATTGATTACGGTAGTTACTACCCTAGGTAATGAAAAATTTTTATCCTATGTCTATTACTCCACATCATTATATTTACTATACTAGTAAAGTTATGATCAACGATGGCGTGTTTAGGCCTTTGTTATCATTGCACTCTATTGACAATAACAGTCTCATGGCTCTATCTATTTTTTAACAAATTAAATGTTCGCTTATCGCTTATCATACAATAATATTATTTTAAGCATAATTTTTCATTAATCATACGCGGATAAAATAGATTTCTAGAAAGTAGACCGCGAAGTTAGAAAATTATTAGGAAAACTAATCTATATTATTAAAAAAATAAAAAAAATTTTATGGCCAGTGTATTTATATAATAAAATGAGTTTTTATGGTTGAATTTGGTATCGTTGCAAAGATCTTGATTTGAATTTGTGGCTTTTCAAAGTTTCATATCATTCTCACCGATAGTCAATTTATTATGATGAGTATTTAGGCTGCATTCGAAAATGCTCTATCTCTAGATACATAATCAAGAAATTACCTTGTATCTTGTGAACTATTGACATTTTTGAAGATATAAGCTCATCCCAAGGTTACACTCATCAAGACCTTTCATCTGAGTACCCACATCAATTTTTCATATATTTTATATATTTATATATATTACAAATACCATATACATAAAATATATAAAAAATACCATGTGGGTACTCAAATGAAAGCTCTTGATGA